GAACAGATCTACTCGACTGTTAATTTTTAACAGCCCCCCACCGCCCCAGGTGGGATGCATGTGGCACAAAGCCGAGTTAACCGTGGGTTCTCCGAGCACGTAGGCTCGGCCAAAGATATTCCCTTAGAATCCGTATAAACGAGTTCAGGGTCTGTCTACCTCCCCGGACGAAACTTTGCCCTTCAGCAAATCCTCGTCCGGGTTCATATCGGCCTAAAGGCAGAGAGTTCGACAGTAGCTGCGAAAAGTCACAGCCTCGGTAGCACACTCTATTTGACTGTTATATTTAACATTCCCCCCCCCCACGAGGGATGTATGTGGCACAAGGCCGAGTTTACCGTGGATTCTACCAGCCCGTAGGTTCGGCCAAAAACATTCCCTTAGAACCCGCATAAACAGGTTCAGGGCCTGTCTACCTCCCTGGACGAAACTTTGCCCTGCGGCAAAGCCTCGTACGGGTTCCTCTCTGTTCGAGGCAGAGGTTTCGAAAGATGAACAACCTATTCAACTGTTATATTTAACAGCCCCCCCCACCGCCACCACGAGTGATGTATGTGGCACAAAACCGAGTTTACCGTGGGTTCTCCCAGCCCGTAGGCTCGGCCAAAAATATTCCCTCAGAATCCGTATAAACGGGTTCAGGGCCTGTCGACCCCCCACCCGGACGAAACTTTGCCCTTCGGCAAAGCCTTGTCTGGATTCCTCTCCGCTCAAAGCATAGAGTTTAACAGTTGAACAATCTGGTCGACTGTTAATATTCAACAGCACCCCCCCCCAACGATGGATGTACGTGGCACAAGACTGAGTTTACTGTGGGATATCCCATGCTTTATTCGTGCTCTACTGTGAAATTTTAAAGAAAAACCCGCACTCAGAACAGCAATAATAAATATAAAGAACCAACTGGAGTGTGGAAATACTGTACTGACGTATCATAGAGAGGAATTATAGAACTACCACGACCTTTCTTGAGAGCTGAGAATGATATGGAATATAACATCTAGAATTGTGCCTATAATATCAGGTACTGAAAACACCGGAAGTGATAGTGAATGAATTGGAAATCCAACGTAGACTTCAGTATACAGACTGCAGTATTGCTTGCCTCGATTAGGATACTGCGTAAAGTGATTTAAGGAAACAATCTATCATTCAATCCTCAGAGATAGCCATCAAACATCTGGTGTTAATATGAAAAAGCAATAATAATAATAAAACAGAAGGTTTGAGAGTCCCCAGTACAAGACATGTCATTGTTGTCACGAGGAAGAGATGTCCGTAGAGACTTCTTGTCACTCAATACTCAACGACAACTAAATTATAATAATTTCATGTAAATACATGAAACAATTTCAGTCATGGATATCACTGCTTCACCGGTCGTTAGTGTAAAATTGAAAGTAAAAAAAAGCAAGAAATTATTTTGACTTTGAGCGAGTAACTGAAATGATAGTAAATTCAGTTAGATTTCTGATTTGGTTTGGTCTGTTGTGTTTTACAGCATATCAACCTCAATAGGTTATTTAATGCCTACAACTTTTTTTCCTGGTAATATTTTGTTTTGTCAAAAATCTATTTCTGGTAATATTTTTTCCTCAAAAATATATAGCTGGTAATATAATTTTAAAACATGTATTGCTGGCAATATTTTTTTTCAAAAACGTATTGCTCGTAATATTTTTTTTCAAAAACGTATTCTGGCAATATATTTTTACAATAACACATCGCTGGTAATATTTTTTTCAAAAATATATTGCTGGCAATATCTTTTTTCAAAAATATATTGCTGGTAACAGTTTTTTTTTTCTTCAAAAATTTATTTCTGGTAATAAGTTTTTACAAAGTATTTCTGGTATTAAAACCTATTTTTACACTTTTATAACGCTTTTTACCTCAGTTTCGGGGTTAACTATTTGCTCATAGCTGGGATCCTAGCAGGTGCTACCACCCCGGGTCAAGGTGGACTTGGGAACGCCAGCAATTGAGAGGTGGTCCCATGCTCCTCAAAACCTCCTGATCAGAGGCCTTGCTGTTGGACGTAGTTTATCGTCATACCCAGGATGCGGATGTAGTTTATAGTCATACCCAGGACGAAGTTAGACTTCTGAGGAGAGGGCTGGATAACTGAGGAGGCTTGCTGTCACTTTATCTCCGCTTCTAACTGAAAAAAAAAAAAAAAATTAAGCAAATGGCATTTGAACAAATGAGAGGCTATCCTTAGAAAACGCTAGAAAAATCTTCGATTCCTCACATCACTCTAGTAAGTAACTGACTCCAGTGGGCATACCCTATCTTTACAATAGTCAGATCAGACCGAAAATTGAGTATTCCCCCCATATATGGACTGGAAATACCCAGCATTTACTTTCCGGTCTTTCCGGTTCGAAAGCGACTACGCAACATTGCAGCTGATGAATTATTTTCCACCCTACAACTCCTTTTCTCACAGTCGAAACATTGCAAGCCTCTCGCTACTCTAGCGATAATTGCATGGCAATTTTTTTTGATCTGCTACATTCCTTATTACCACCAGTTCTAACGTTCTCAGTTAAGACACACCATGCCACAACAACTGGAACGAACTGTAGTAGGATTAGGTAGCAATAACACCATACGAAAATATGCACTTTACTCTTTACTAAATGAGTGCCAAAGAAAACCCTCTCTTCAATATATTTCCGTTCATTTCCTTCCTTCAATTGTTCCTATACTCAGTAACGGACAGGAACCCAGACTTAGTTTATGTGGGTCAGTGAACGTCATAAAAAAATCGACTAATCACAACACATCGCGCCAAAAATGAAACGGGAAACACGGATGTGCCAGCCCTAATAAAAAGAAGAAAACCACGTAAGAGACTAGAGATGCGGCAGTGGAGAGGAACTTAATTCTAGGTAGCAGTTAGAGACGCAAGGGTTGGTGATTCATCGGCTGTGAGTTTTACCTGATGTACATCTGTAGAAGAGAAAGAAGAAGAAAAAAAGGATAAATGCAACGAATTAATTTCTGTCAACCAGAAGAAACACAACAACCCTTTTATGAACTCTCAAATACCCAAAAAAGAACGATAGGCAGCCATTTTAAACACTGTAACCAAATGGAGTCAACAATGAATGGTACTATAGACAGTAAATTTGGCCTTCACTTCATCTCTATATACCACAGTACCATCACCAGTGCCTCCATTCCTCTCGAACACCTTCTTTCCACGAACTGCTACTTTGTGAAATAGACTCCCGAGAGGATGTTTTCCCGATGATATTAACCTCTTTAATAGGTTTAAGCGTTATCTTTCCCACATATAGTCATAAACTGCACTTCTTATCTCTTTCCGCTGAAATAACAATTGCCTTCAGTAACAATCTGGTTTGAGGAACTTTTGGACCTGGGAAAGAATACTCTGGAGTTTTAAGATTCAGCCCAATCATCCAAGAGAAGAACGAAGAATTTTAAAGTGTTCTCCTCAACAAAGGCGTATCTGCTAGATCGTGCAATGGTTGTGCCTCATGGACCAATGGACGAAAACACATGCTAACCCAAATCGGAAAAAAAAAAAAAATATCTGGAAAACTGTGGAACGCGAATGTTGTGGTGGTGCCTATGATAACTAGTGCACCCGGAACAGTTCTCAAAACACGACCGGCATAAAGAATAAAGGAATTAAAATTTGGGAATCTATTAAGATTTTCCAGAACACGGCAATGATGAAATCCGTTGAAATACTACATTAAGTGTTGGCGGTGTGAGGAGATTTGCTTCAAACGCTTTGTATGAAGATGCAAACGCATGAAAATAATAATAATAATAATAATAATAGTCGTAAACAAAGAGAAAAGTCTCAGTTCAGGCTTTTCGGTCTTGAAATTGAAAGAGAACGAAAGATTAGATAAGTGTTTGAACCTCAATGAACTGATGAAGCTGTGAAACATGAAGCTGTGAAACATGAAGCTGTGAAGCATGAAGCGGTGAAACATGAAGCTGTGAAGCATGAAGCTGTGAAACATGAAAGCTGTGAAACATGAAGCTGTGAAGCATGAAGCTGTGAAACATGAAACTGTGAAGCATGAAGCTGTGAAACATGAAGCTGTGAAACATGAAGCTGTGAAGCATGAAGCTGTGAAACATGAAGCTGTGAAACATGAAGCTGTGAAACATGAAAGCTGTGAAGCATGAAGCTGTGAAACATGAAGCTGTGAAACATGAAAGCTGTGAAACATGAAGCTGAAAGTTTTACCGATCGTAGAGTACTGTCCGAACTTCTAATTCAAAGGAGAATCGTGATTATACAGAAAACGCCACTACACTTGTTTACCAAAACAAGTACCGGCCTAATTATATTATTTCTTACATTTACTCCCCTCTTTCAGTAGGTTGCTATTTGGTACGGCACGTTTATTATTTTTCAAATCACTTTCTCCGAGGCACAATTCTTTTTTTTTTCTCTAAGAATCATGCCACGCCAAAAAAAAAAGAAAGTTCTCTTATTTTTATTTGAATCGGCACTCTTATTTTATAAGTCGAAAAATTTCCACTGGAATCAGAAGATTTGCTGCCACTTGATCTCTTTTATTTGCCACTAGTTACCACTGAAAATTGAGTAATAATAAATAGATATATGTAGCTATCAAAATATGCTATCAATATTTGGTGAATGCATTTCGTAGAAAATGAAAGTGTCAGAGACAGATATTTTATGACAACCACGAAATATAAAAATCTATCCGTATAGTTGAAACGTTTAAAATATAGGTAATGGTGTGTGTGTGGGGGGGAGGGGGAGTGAGAGAAACATTCGGTGGAGAAAACGGTTAATAAAAACCTAAAAGCAAAATGTATTTACAATATTGTAGGAAAATATGACGGAAAGTATTTCGACTCTGTATATTTAGCACTTGTCTCTTGCTGAAAGAGATGAAAGAATTGCCGTAAATAGCGTCATCGCTAACAATTTAAACTCTGTGTTGAAAAATCTAGAGATGCAGATGACAAATGGATGGACCTCAAAGAGAAATAAAGAAAGAAAGAAAAAAAAAAGAAAGAAGAAGAAGAAGAGAGTATAAATAAATAAGTAAATAAATAAGTAATGCGAAGATGTAAGCAGCGGAAGGGAATAGATCATGTTTACATGTCATTGTTATAAGTAATAACGATGAACGCTCACAGGGGAGCAAAAGAAGAAGACTAACTTCTCGAGAACGAGAGAGAAAGAGAGAGAGAGAGACACAGAGAGAGCAGAGAAACACAACAATGTGTAACACACAGTGATCATGGCTTGGAGGCAACTGTCAATAATTGAAGCTAGTTACTGACGCGCTCTCAACATGTCGAGCATAGGCAGTTCAGACAGAAATCATGGACATAATAAAAAAAAGATGTGATAATAAAAATAGGAACGGAAGTGAAAACGAAAAATTGTTCAACATGAGGTGGTTTACTTTTTTTTTCCACTGTCAAGTTATTCTTTATTTAATGACTGCAAAGTAACATTAAACGAAACAAACTTCACAGTCAGAATGGTTATTCTTTCACATCTCAGTCGCAAATATAATGGCTTCCTCGGCAGTTATTTTTTTATGAAGATTTGCTCACAAGGAAGATTTATTCTGGTTTAAGCATGAACTTCTCGAAGATTTCACCATTTGTAATTTTTATATTTTGGCAGCGAATACTGATTCTCGAGGTTTCAGACTTGCTCTGTTGGTCGTAATCTCTACAATACACACCATCACGATATCTCTCTCTCTCTCTTACACACACACATATATATATATATATATATACACAATTTTGGCCATTTAATTTAAAGAGAATACCAGCATAATAATGCACAAGATAAAATAAAGAAATAAGAGTTGGAAGATAGTGTAGCTCCAATCTTCAAAATTGAATAAAACTGTTTTAAAAATCAGATTTGAGTTTTATTTGAGCTTAAACACTAGTGTTTGAAGCAAAGCAAATATACTTAAATCTCCAAAATCTTTCTCAGTCATAACGCAGACCCCCAGGTAATGCTGCAATTTTTTCATCAATGGTAGCCGCTTTGTTTTCACAAGGGTGAAGTGACATTAATTCGTCTCTTTAGTCTTAGTATTCTAATTAATTAGTAATTATGTCGCTTGCACAGCTTTCTGTTCTTAAGATATACAATTCATCCAAACTTTGCAAGGCTCTTCGTGACACTTCGGGACTTTTTGTGGGCATCAAGAATAATAGTTAAAAGTGTCACATTCATTTTCCCCGGTTTTTCCATTTATCCACCTTTTTAAATTATTCCTTTTTTACTCTGTGATGTACAGGAATAGTAACATCCACTGACTATTTCTTCTACGATGGGAAGATCTAAACTGGATTGGATGGTCCATTTATGGTCAAAGTTCCATGGAATTTTATTTATTTCGTTCTATAAGAAAGATTCAAATTTTTACATTAAAATTATTTGCACAATTCTCAGCTACCTCTCTTACACATTCATGTTTACTTTTTGTATTTTTTTTTCTGGCTCGTTTTATTTTCATGATTAACGGTCTCACCTCTATCTCCCCAGAGGTGACATTTATAATTTGCTGTGTATATAGTAGATTTAATGCTTTTGTTGCTTATGAAATTGCTTTAATTCATCTTTAAAGGATATTCATTTTTTACTTCAGATCTCCAAGCATGTCTTAACTTTAATTTCTTTTCTTTGCCTCCTGAAATGTCAATGTAGTTGGGCTTTTTTTTTATCCACCTTTTGGTTTTTTGTTTTGTTTCATTTCTATTCTTGTCAGAGAGTCTTCAACTTTTGTCTGTCTACAATGTGAAGTCTACTCTTGATTGAATGCAAACTTGAATGCATTCAAATTAACTCCTCTTTTTTTCCTTTTTCTTTGCAAATTTGGATGTTTTTGCTTTGATGCAAAGCTTGATGTTGTGTGACCCGTTACATTGTTTTATGTTGCAAATTTCTCAGTGTTTTACACTTATTCCATTAAAGGTCCAGAATATTTAAAAACGGGTACTGCACAAGAAGTTAGCCTTTTAGTATCGTCCCTGTTCTTTTCAACTATTCTTTGCCAGTGTTTTCTTTAATTTCATACTCTTTGAATGAAGCTCCTTCGAGTATTCTTTGTTACTTGTTTTTAAATTCAACTGAGGATGGTCAAATAGACAAAATTGTTAGCCATATATATATTGTTGTAGAGTAGTTTTCATAGTGGAGGCTTGTATTTCACTGAGTCGGTCCTAAAATAGGTTCGACGTACAAAATGTTAGGAACTTGAAATAATAGTTAATGACGCAGCAATCTAGTTGTGGTGGTTGATACTTCAAGGTCCGACATCGACTGACACACCAACTCCACTGAACCCCCTGGCAACTGCTACTACTACTACTTAGTATCTGTGGGAGAGTCTATTGACAATAGAATAGATATGTTCCGGTATAACGTAGATATATATATATATTTTTTCTCATTTGGATATATATATATATATATATATATATATATATATATATATATATACCAACAGCTTCCCATACTTAACATTTTCACTCCCGCGTGGTCATGTGTGACGTCACGAGCTGCGGTGCAGTTTTCGTTTCTGCGTCTCGTATATACGAGTTTGTCGTTGCTTGTAAATCTTTCATGCAAGAAAAACAGTCTATCATTATTGTTTTGTCCGTGTATTGTTTAATATATTGTAATGTAATTGTCATCTTTGATAATGGCTTATGTAACCCGAAAGCTTAGATAGGATTAAAAAATATGTATCATGTATGGTGTTTTTCTTTCATCTTTCAATGATAATGTTATTAAGCTTATCAAACAATATGAAAGGAATTTATTTCAAATAAATAGACAAAACTTTTCTATATTATTTAAAGAACCAATCAATGATAAAATGCATCAATGATAAAATATATATATAAATATATATATAATATATATATATATATATATATATACAAATGTCAGAATGATTAGCCAACATAACAAAATATTATCGTCGATGTTGAATATCTTTGTTAAGTGTCCGTATAACCACGCTGATCTGAAGATGGCTCATGTGACCCAAAAGCTTAGATCAAAAACCAACTTAATAAAATGTATCCAAATGTTGGACAATTTTTGTCTTTATTTTCACCCGAAATTAAAGCAAAAAGCAAATATTAGAATAGCTCATGATCAAACATAAGACATTCATTGTCTGTTATATTTAACAATATGTTTAAATAATGATCTGCTACTCCGATAAACCATATATATATATATATATATATATATATATATATATATATATATATATATATATATATATATATATATATGAAAAAATATCTTGTCATGGTTTAGAATCATAAGAGACTTTATGATAACTTCCATTTAAAATTTTATTTGAATGCGGCGTCTGATTTGAGTTCAACGGTCTTATGCTATTATTGACCTTTGTCTACAAATGTCAGTGAATCAACTTATTACGTTGGATGACAAAAGAATACATATGATATTCCTTTCCAGCAAGAAACAAATGCATAAATTATAACGTAAATATTTCTTATCTTAGTGATGGCTGGCACAAGGCCAAAATAATTTTTCTCCCATTAATATTTGAACACATTGCGTCAGACACTTTCCAAAGGTACCGTACGCTTTGATCTTCCTCCCTCCAGATCGATAACACCAGGAAGTCTTCTTTCTGGGAAATCGACCATGGTTAGATTCGAACTCGGGTCTCATGGTCAGAAAATGTGTGTCCACGTATTAAGAATACACCTTTAAGTGCCGAATCTAGGTGCGTCGTTAGTGTTGTTGCTCACATGTCACTAGAAGGTTAGGGTCTAAATAAATAACAGACTTCTTCGATGGGCGACCCGATCGAATATGATCAGTATTCGGCCCGCAGCCAGAATAAAATTTGCTACTAGCTTTAGGACGTGCATTATACAGGGTATCCATAAAGTTCGTGTGTACTTTAACAAAGTTATAACTTTATTTGTATTTGCGATAGAAATAATCTGTTAAAAATGTTATAAAGTTTAATGTACCTAGTTTTAAGTATAGCTAAAATAACTTATGTGATTTCAGGCATTACTGTAAATCGGTTGGTAAATGTTTTGCGTGAACTGCAAAATCGTATTACCCTTTGTATTGCTAATGATGGAGCACATGTGGAAACTTAAATAAAATTTCATTAAAACTTTAAAAAATATAGATATACTTCTTTCTAATTCTTTTTACAAATGATTTTTATCGCTAATACAAATAAAGTTACAATTTTTTAAAATGCACACGAACTTTATGGACACCCTGTATAAGTTCCCCCAGAAAACGGCAACTAATCAAGACTTCACTTGGGCTATTCGATGTTATAGATCAGGTATGCTTGGTTGTACTGATCTTCCGACATGCGGCCAAGACAGGGTGTTTTTGGAAGAAGATATATATAGAATAAACCAATATATATATATATATATATATATATATATATATATATATATATATAATAAAAAAACATCACTACCACACACTGAACATGCACAGAACGCACACACTCTACTAAGCTGATAATCGAATCATCCTTGATAATGGCTAAAGGTATAGCCGAAAGCGCTCGGAAATACAAAACATTTGGACAGTTCTTACACACACTTTGTCCAGAAAAGAAAACTCTTGTCAGAACACAAGAAAAATTAAATAAAAAGCTCAACCGTAGTACCTTGTCTGTCGTTTTAATGAAAATATGTACATATATATATATATATATATATATATATATATATATATATATATATATATATATATATATATAAATTAATAAAATAAAACGATTTATTATATTAGTTCGTCTTACGACTTATTTTTCTTTTCTCTTCCTCCCCTTTTAACTGTTCTGTTATAACTTATTTGTTTGGTCTTTCTCTTTTATAACTTTACTTTTTCTTCTTATTTTTTTTCTTATCAAAATGTTTACAATAGAGTGATTAAAATGACTTAGACTATTTACAAAATGAAAACTCCTGAAATGCGGTATGAATAATTTGGGATATTGATTGTTACTCTAATAAATTCCGTTTAAAATCTAAGAGAAATAACATTTAACTAAGTATAAAATGTTTCTGTCGTCCTCTGTGAGAGCCATTTCGATGCAATCATTAAAGAATAACATCAAAACAGCCGCAGTATAAAAACAATAACTTCAAATTAGTCGACTGTTTTACATTGTATATTATTATTTTTTACAAATATTTAAATTCGTGTGTTCATAAAAATGGTAAACAAACGTTTTATTGACGTCATTGAAGT